AGAAACCTTAATTTGAAATTTATACCTTTTTTAAAAAAAAAATCTTTTTCAACAATATCATTTTGTTTAGTTACATATACTATATATAATTAGCTATCCGGCCTGGCGTCGCACGGGTGTACATGTTTTATAGAGTATTTATACATATAAACCTTCCTATTGAATCTCTATCTATTGCTTAAAACTGCATTAAAATCGGTTGCGTAGTTTAAACAGACAGCGGAAGTGACTTTATTTATGACTTTACTATACTAGCTTTCCGCCCGCGGCTTCGCCCCCTTGGACATAGGATGTATAGGTTATCGCGTTTAAAGATCCGTGTACAATAATGGGACGTTATATAGACGACCTCGGTGGTCTAGCGGTGTAGCACACCGACCGATGGTCGCGGGTTCGATTCCTCGCACGGCACAAACATTTGTATTCATGAATATAATTGTTTGTATCGGTTTGGGTGTTTTCTATGTATTTACAAAAACAAATATTTATGTAAATGTATCAATTGACTAGTACCCATAACACAAGTTTTTCCTAGCTTAAGTTGGGTCTAGATGACGCTGTGTGAATTGTCCTGAGATTATTATTATTATATATCCTAAACCTTCCTCTTGAGCCTATCTATTCTGTCTATTAAATATGATAATATTTGTAACATCATCTCTGCATCTTCCTTATTCCATTTATTTGGGGTCGGCGTAATATGTTTTTCTCATCCATTCATTCAGATAATATTTATACCGCAGTACAAAAAATAAATAGGATCACATTATCGTCAACGAAAGCACTTTTCCCTTTATATAATGGCATGATATCTTTCGTGTCTCTGATTTGATATACCAATATTTATCATACTGATATGAACAATCTAATCACAAGTGTTTCCAATAAATGTCAAATTTATACGACTAAAAAATGATATTACCTAATTACTTATCAACAAATGTTGTGATAACAAAATTATGACGGATCACACAATATAATGTTAAACATCATACACAAATAAAAATAAACTTTATTTAAATAATATTTAAATTACTTTTGTATATTTTTTTTGGTTCTACCACTCATTCGGAGCGGTTTGTTGTTGATGGCGACAATTTTTCTTTTTGCCTGGTTCTTCAGTCTCGTATACTCTTCTTCATTGTAAGTTTCTATCTCGTTCTTCTTGTGATGAGTCTAGCTCTCTCTTACATGTTGCTCTCTTAAAAAAATGCTGTTCTAAGTAATTATACTTTAACAAGAATTAGGCATGCGACAATCAACAACAAACAGCTACGCACTCAATCTTTATGCAATCAGACAATATTGTCAGCGCTATGAATTTTAAGTTACATTTTTTTACAAAAACAGTATAACACTTACTAATATTATAAACGAAAACTCTGTCTGTCACGCTGTCACACTAAAACTACTAAACCTATTTAAATGAAATTTTGGACACAGATATTTTAGACTCTGAGAAAGGACATTAGCTACTTTATAATGCGAAATAAGGGTAGTAAGCTACCATCTGCACTCGCCCCCTATCCTTCGGTGAAGTCGCAAGCCAGGAGATCGCGTTCAGCCGCTCCATAAGTCCTTCCGCGGGTTAGCGCTGTGCACTCGCTCCATGTAGTTCGGTGAAGCTGTAAAGGCCAGCTGCAGCCCACAGCATCTAAAGTTTAAAACTATCCTAAGTTTGAAATCAACACATTACATTGTTGCACCTATAAATAACTCATAGATGTTCTCAAAATTAGTTCAATATGCCAACATTAAGATCCTTATCGTGATTATAAATCAACGGTGGTACCGTCCGAGATGGTATCTGCGTCATCAGCATCATCGTAATTGGGTTCGATGACCTGTACATTCTTGTGCAATGTGTTTTATAACAAGTTTTCAACTGAAAGAAAGGCTTAATCTTTAAATGAATACAGGCAGATGTTAATATGATTATTTTTTAACTAGCTACTCGCCCCGGCTTCGCACGTGTGTACATGTATTATATATATAAACCTTCCTCTTGAATCACTCTATCTATTAAAAAAACCGCTTCAAAATCCGTTGCGTAGTTTTAAAGATTTAAGCATACATAGAGACAGACAGACAGCGACTTTGTTTTATACTAAGTATGTAATGAAGTAAAGTAATTTAAACATCGAGAAAGATTTATACTTTATTTATCATAAAATTATGCTCATTAATATCTCATTAACTATATTAATGACTAGTTTATACTTAAAACAAAAGAAATTAAAACTTTATTGTTTATTAGAATAGATAAAATTTATAAAGTAAAAGTTAGTTACTCCTTACTTATAACACTAGCTATCTCCCAGTGAAACTCCCGTCAGTATTCGTTTCATAGATTAGCAAGTACAAACAGATGTCTATCTGTTTTTTCTCACTAATCTCTGGAATGAGCTGCCTGAAACTTAATTTTTTTTTATGTAGGTTCTGTATATACTTCAAATGCATTTAATGAAAAGCTGTTAATTTTAATGACACATCAATTTTATTTATTTATATTTAAACCTCATGATGATAAGCATCACCACTGGTGCTCGGTCAGCGTAAACCGTTAACGCAGGTGGGTGCATCATTCCATTATCATCCATAAGAAAACCTCATATGCATTGCCATTCCTATAGCTTGAGGTACCCTGCCTCTTTGCCCTATAATTTTACTGCCATTTCTCCTCCTTCAACCGGCACACCATATACAACATCTATAATATTTATCTATACTAATATTATGTAGCTGAAGAGTTTGTTTGTATGAACACGCTAATCTCAGGAACTACTGGATCGCATTGAAAAATGTTTTGTGTGTCGGATAGTCCATTTGTCGAGGAAGGCTTTAAGCTATAACATTACGCTACGACTAATAGGAGCCGAGCTGCAATGAAAAATATTGCTAAAGGGAAATTAAACGCAAATGAAGTTGAGCGGGTCAGCTAGTTCTATTAAATAGGAACAGTTAATTATTTAACACGGTTATTATTTATACGTATAATAAGTAAAAAATCACGGGATCTTACCACGTTTTATATTTATTGAGTTCCCGATATTTCGGCAGTGTTTCAACCGCCATGATCACGGGTAAACTGAGTCAGTCTACCCGTGACCCGCTTCGGGAACTCAATAAATAAATATAAAATGTGGTAAGATCCCGTGATTTGATTTTGACGGCCTCGGTGGTCTAGCACACCGCTTTAAGTCCGATGGTCGCAGGTTCGATTCCTCGCACGGCACAAACATTTGTATTCAAGAGTATGATTCCTTCTATCGCTGTGGGAGTTTTATATATATAATATGTATGTATTTACGAAAAAAATATCTATGTAAGCTTTAGCTAGCTTAACTTTCGTCTAGATGGCGCTGTGTGAATTGTCTTGAGATTATTATTATTATTATTTTTACTAATTATACATATAGTTAATAATTGATATTAATGTAAAAGATATAAGACACAAGTAGCGACCTGATTGTGATAACGAAAAAGGTAGCGATAAAATAAAAACAGATAAATGTTATAGTGATTATTCTTTGTATATGTTTTATTAATTTATCAACAAATTAACGTTTTTACAAATAAACTATTGTACTTTAAATATATTTATCAGATTAGGTACCTACAATTGAAATAGTTTTAAACGTTGTAGGTATAAATGTAGAGTCATTGTGGAAGAGCGTCCAATCTGAGAATTGGACTGTTTTGAAAATAATGATCACGTTAGAATACTATGAAATAAAAATATTGTTTATTTACTTACATAAATATCACAAACATTTATGAAAATAAAAAAATATTTTTTTATTTTTTTTATTACTCGTTTTGTTTACTTATTTAGATAGATAATAGAATAGAATAGAAAATAGAAAATCATTTATTCAAATAAACTTACATTGAAGCACTTTTGAATAGTCATAACATTTTTTTTTAATCTACCGCTCATTCGGAATGCTGTCTCATCACAAGAAGAACAAGCAAGAAACTTGTGTGTTGCTCTTTTAAATAATTTATTCTTACTTACAATTTAAGTTTAAGTGTGTGAATACAAACCACCGATTAGCACTAATTCAATGAAATAATAAAATATAAAAAACATTCAATATACAACAACTGGTTAAACAATTAATAATTGGTTTATTTCCACTCATATGACACCTACTTTAATCACCCTTCGTTGTCATTATTGCAATTATTAGCAATAATACTTATATTAACCTCTGCATACATAAATTACAGGTTTTATTTAAAAAACATACCTATTACAATTTTATTGTTAATTAAAGTATGAATAAAAATATTCAAACACAATATGTACCTATCACGTGACAATTAAATATTTCATATTAAATCTAAGAACTAGCAACAGTATTTAAATAAAAACCGCATTGAAATCAGTTTATCCGTTTCAAAGTAATGATAACAAAGGGTTATAAATATAACTACCCCTTTTCTTACCCCTTTTGAAATTAATCATTAAAACGTTCCATTAAAATATTTAAAGCCAGTAAGTCAACAATGCCTTAAGCAGTCCAATCAAGGTTGCATAGATATTTCAAGAGAAAAAAGTAAAGTTCAGGCGAAACTGGATGCGGAGCCAGTCTTAAAAATAAAACTTGACGGTGCGTTGTCTATAGCGAAATGAAAACGATGGCAGCTGTAATAGTTAACTGTAAGGGTTAATATAATAAGGTATTTGTTAATTAAAACTTATTTTAATTATTAATTTAGTTAATTATTCTTAACATTACTGCATAATATGTAACAGCTGGAGACAAAGTGGAGTAAGTATATTTTTTAAATTATTTTATAATTTGTAATGCATTGAATTAACTTCATACTAAATTTAGAATATAAGTACTTTTATGTTACACTACAGATGCCATGTATACATAAATAAATTGCATTCGCTACTTTATTGCCCTGTAATGAAGTTGACACGAAAATTTGACAGTTTGACAGTTGGATCTGTCAAAATTTGAGTGGAAATATATAAATACACTTACCAAGTAACAAAAAGTTTCCGGATACAGTTCAAAAACCTCACATAAGCACTGCACGAAACTAAAACTATTACACGCAACACTGTTTAAACAGCAAGACTTGTCAAAGCAATGCAAACTTTCTACTTTATACTTTACTGATATCACGAATCGAAAACGTTACAACTGTGCCACTGTTTTGTTATCGAACTTTTATTAACACAAAGTGTCTTTTTTACTTATTTACACGTAAAAAAACGTTGTGTTCCGTATTTTTTTGTGACGTAAAAAGTTTTGTTTCAGTCGGAGCGCGAGAGACGTACGGTCGGTGTAAGCGTCAACATGCATCTGAATCTGACTTGAGTCAGACGTTTAGTTTGACCTTCGTGTAATGAAATGCGACCGAATGAAGTTGGTTTCTTAGATAGACCGGTTCGCTTTAGGCAAAAGTGGTTGTGTGTCTTTTTGCTTTTTTCTTTGACTCAACTTCACTTTGAACGTTTAGGCAATGAGCTTCGGTGTGAGATTAATCTTGGATTCCTTTTAATTGGAATCGAGAGTTGCGTTTTGTTCGATAAAAAACTAGATACAAATCAGTCGGGTCTGGGAAATATTTTTTTTAAATTTTTGGTTACACTCGTTTGACATCATGTCACTCTATATTCTTATTTTTTATATTTATCATAAATTTTTTAATTTCTTTTGTATTTTTTAAATACCTTACGAAATTATAAATAAATATTTTATTATTATCTTGCTTCTTGAGAAGAGTTGGCAAGTTTCTTACAGGATTAGTAGAAAACGTTTTTAAAGATATGCCAATATGCTCATATTGGCATATATTTAAAAACGTTGTTTTCAGTAGAAGATGAAAATGTTAAAATTATATTTATATGACGACCTCGGTGGTCTAGCGTTCTAGCACACCGCTTTACGACCGATGGTCGCGGGTTCGATTCCTCGCACGGCACAAACATTTGTATTCATGAGTATGATTGTTTGTATCGGTCTGGGTATTTTCTATGTATAATATGTATGTATTTACAAAAAAAATATATGTATCTATGTATATGTATCAGTCATCTAGTACCCATAACACAAGCTTTAGCTAGCTTAACTTGGGTCTAGATGGCGCTGTGTGAATTGTCCTGAGACTATTATTATTATTGTTTATATTTATTTATAAGCTATTTTTATACACCTATATTGCTTCTTCGAGATAATGGCTCATTATTATGAATATACACTTAGATTGTGGAATGAACTACCTGCCGATGTTGTCTCGAGCGACTACAGCATGGGGTTTTGTAAGGCATGTTAAGGTTCATTTGAGGGTCCGTAACGCGCACGTGAAAACCCTGGTGAAAGTACAACAGGTTTTGTAAGGCATGTTAAGGTTTCTTGAGGGTCTGCAATGCGCACGTGACACTCTTGACGTTTCAGGCGTCCATAGCTACGGTATCTGTTTAGCATCAAATGGGCCATAAACTTGATTGTCACCATCGTAGTATTAAAAAAAAAAGGAATGAATACAGTAATAACCTCTTAAAATATTAATCACAAACTGAATAATTAAAACAAAGAACATAGTACTTAGGTATAGTATTTTATATATGTTTTCTGTATCTAAATATCCGAATTCGATTTTCGAGGAATCGTCTCGTCGAAGTTCAGTGGATTGGACTTAATTGGAGAGTAAATCAATTGGGGATCGGGGTCTATTCTGCAATCGTTAGTAATTTATAAATTACGCATAATAATAAATTATATTAATTTATTTTTATACCACATAGGTGGCAAACAAGCATACGGCCCATCTGATGGTAAACGGTTACCGTACTCTATGGACGCCTGAAACGTAATATTATGTTATCTGTGCCTGAAACTACATACAATCCCAAATTTTTACCCTTCTATCATCAACCCCTATTTTTTTATAGCGTTATTAATTTATATGGCAAAACAACGTTTGCCGGGACAGCTAGTTTTTTTATAAATACGTTTCTTTGTATGTTCAGTATATACATAGTAAAGACCCAGACCGATACGGACAATCATACTAATGAATACAAATGTTTTTACCATGCGAGGAATCGAAACAGCGACCATCGGATTGAAGGCGGTGTGCTAAACCGCTAGACCACGAGGTCGTGATGTAATGACTAACAAAACAGGAAAAAAAATATTGTACATATTTACAAAAAATGTACATCAACATTTTAATCAAAGAGTGAAATACTATTATAAAATAAATTTGAAGAAAATAATATATCGAGCGCTTCGAAGATAGAACCTTAGGCGTTTTCAAGATTCATGTTATATCAAGGCGATTTATTAACATGTCTTAATTAAATTATAGCTGTATCAATATATTTCCTTTGTGTTTGTTGTTTTTTTATTATGTTACTGGAATGGCAAAGAAGCTGACGATTCATGGTAAGTGGTAACCTATAATGAACAGCTCTATGGACATCACACCATACAACCATCAAGCAGACAAAGTCGCGGTTTATAGCTAGTGTTAAAATTATCTCACTAACATTATAAACGCGAAAGTTTGTGTGTATGGATAGATAGATGGATGTTTGTTACTCTTTCACGCAAAAACTACTGAACGGATTTCCATGAAACTGTTGTCATTTTATTTTATATGTGTATAGGTGAAAGAACATATAGAAAATGACTTTGAATACTGAGATGTATAAGGAAACGATTGACAAGATATTGAAGTATAAAACAAAAGAGTACAATAAAATAACTGCAAATTTGAATACAAATTTAGATTAACAAATACATTTCTGATTAGCCAGTATAGTAAACAGAAACTTTACAATAATATAGGTTATACATCAAAATTAATAACACGTAAACTATAAATTCCATTCGGATGAAACCGCGGGCACAGCTAGTGATTAAATAATAGCAATATTACAATATATTTCCATTGATTACTACCATTTTAACCGTCTTAGTACCAAAAAAGAGGGGATTATTAATAATGGAGACTAGTACTTCCATAGCCAATCATGTTTGCTGTCACAAATAGCCATTAAATATTTCTTAAAAATAAAGTAGATAATTTTGAAAATGGAACGTCGAATTTAGATCGGCCATATTGTTTTGTTTATTTTGTAAAACTACTCCCATCCTTCCTGAACATTCCGCAGCTTCATTAATGAAGATATTGAGTGCAATGGATTTTTTTTATTTATAATCACAACATGCAATATCCAATTCCAGCCTACCTCTTCTCGAAATCCAACTTATTCCTTAAAAGGCCGGCAATGAACTTGCAATTCCCCTGGTGTTGCGGGTACTCATGGGCGGCGGTAATCACTTACCATCTGGGGGAAAAGGGATTGTTAGTAATGTGGACTCGTGACCCATTACTAGCAATTTGCTATGTCAGGTTGACCTCCACGCGGTTCCCCCTGGAAACCATTATGATAAATTCCTGGTGAAATTATCACGTTGGGCTAACTGACCTGATCATGTTCATCTTATCGTCCTCCACTGGTGCCCCACCAGCGTAAACCATTAGCACAGGCGGGAGCACCATCCATTATCATCCATAAAACAATCACTTACCATCAGGTGAGCTTCGAGCTCGTTTGTCCCCAAGCTATAAAAAACTGGCAAATCATTGATAAAGATTTACTAAACCTGATCTCATGATTATCCTATCATCCTCCACTGGCAGGCAACCATTGTGTACCGTTAACGCAAGCGAGTGAATCATTCCATTATCATATAAAAAAACTTAGTAGCAAAATAAATCTTACATCATACCTATCAATATTAAATCTATATATAAATATAACACATAACGCGTTATTACGAATTTTTCATGCACGATTTTTGCGAATAGATTTCTAGCAAAAACTGAATAGATCGTAAAACATTAATAGCTTCTATTCTATGTTGGCAGTTTCTTTCTTCCGTCTTTTGAATTGTGTTTATTAAACAACAAATTGTTTTGCACTGATTTAATAATTAATAGGGAGATATAGGGATCCCTACATATTTTTTATATTCATTGCATGTTATCAGATAACACTGTGGCAGTAGACTAGTTTTTTCTTTTTTTTATTTATTCGTTTCACGGCTCTGGATACAAGTCCTTTTAAGGCCTGCTTTAACAAGTACACTAAACTCGAAGTTTTAATTTTGTTACCAGTTAGTTGTATATTTAATGCTTATCTTTATATGTATTATTATTTTGTTGTATTTAAATTAAAACAACCAAATCAAATCTTTATTCGTGTAGGTCTATTACAGACTCTAATGACATGTCAAATCTACCGTCATTTCGGAGTGCTTTCGAGCTAAGAAGAACAGACAGTTGGATGGACAGGAGATAATCAGTTTTTCATGTACATATATATTAAAACTGACAATTCCACTCTTTTTCTTTTCAAATGAGCTTGTATATGTTTAAAAATAGAGACTATGTTGCAGGTTGCTATTGCAATTTTTTTTGATTGCTATAAATTTAATTAAATACACGTGATATCTTACTACACTCTTTCAGTCCCCTTGTGATATTTAATTTTAAACTTTCGTGTTTAATATACATTATTTAAATTATTAACCGGGTCTTAACACGAATAATTTTATGGCAAATAAAGGTATTTACCTCTCTAGTCAGCTCGTGACCACGGCTAGTGCAGCCCCTTGTGATAGTTAATTTTAAACTTTCGTGTTTAATATACATTATTTAAATTATTAACCGGGTCTTAACACGAATAATTTTATGGCAAATAAAGGTATTTACCTCTCTAGTCAGCTCGTGACCACGGCTAGTGCAGCCCCTTGTGATATTTTCGTGATTTTTGTCAAAGCCCTCCCCCCTGATTCAAGCGTCACATGATTAATGGACAGTCCCTAACATGATGTCTATATAGACTGTCTATATAGACTGTCTATATAGACATCATGTTAGGGACTGTCTACATGTTACTGTCTGTCATCATGTTAGGACTGTGACGTCATGTCATCAAGAGCCCTGTACATCCTCACTATTAATTGTGAACCATTGTGTCGCTATGGCGGAGCCGCTGCCTGGTCCACTGGTATGATATGGCGGTGCATCGTCCTGCAGCTTGGAAGAGTCAGGTCGACGATCTGTATGATAACATCCGCACCCGGAAGAAGTTTGCCTTATATATGACTAGCTGTGCCCACAGTTCCACTCGCATGAAATTTATGTGTTATTCTGATGTATAAACTATGTGACTGTAAAGTTTCATCAAAATCCGTTCAGTGGTTTTTGCGTGAAAGAGTAAAACATCATCCATATTTACAAACTTTCGACTTTATAATATGAATAAGATTGATTTAGTTATAAATATAT